GCCATTGGACCACTGGTTCCCACTCGATAGAGTTCCCGTCCGCTTCTTAGACACAGCAACTGTGCTCCTCACCAACTCAACTACCTTTCTAGTCATCTCATTCGGCACGCCCTCATCGGTGCAGCTTCGGTTCCGGTATACCCTTTCCCTTCCTCCTTTGAACGTATGCAATACGATCGTTGCGCAGAGCCAAGCTATGATACATGCTGCCAGACGGATCCAAGGGGCGGCCGAAGCTCATCGGAGTATCGAGTCACTTTCACTGGCAGTGAGCACAAGCGAGACTCGTCAAAGTGCCATACAGAAAACACATTGCCAAAACAAAGAACAGTCCTACGTCGTTACATCATCACATCAGGGCGTCGACGTCCCATAGCGGACGCCGAGATCCTTCTTCTCATCAACGCTGCCCGTGCGTTTCTCTTCGTCGCTCTCGTATCTGGCGACGCCAGGCTCGAGTCCGTCTTGCTGATCCCGCATGTGTGCCTCTCGCTCGCCCTTGGAGACGCTGCCGAAGATCACGTCCATCTCCTCGAGACTGCGACCCTTGGTCTCCGGCAGGAAGAAGACAAAGGTCGAGAAGCCGAGCACGTTGATAGCTCCAAACAGGAAGAACACCTTGTAGTCAAGTGAGTCAATCATGTAAGGGCTTGCTTGTGCTTGGGCAAAGTTGAAGAGCCATTGCGTTGCTGAGGCCAAGGCGAGGCCCCAGTGGCGTGTCGAGTTCGTGAAGATCTCCGAAACGTACACCCAACAAAGTGGGCCTACACCCAAACTGTACACGACGGCGATCAAGTAGACGAGCCCGGCCATAGCGCGCGATGCAGGCTGAGGAGAGGACGATGAAGCGCTAGGCGGATAGGTCTTGAGAAGGGCGCCGATGATGAAAAAGAGAATTCCCATGCCCAGAGCCGAGGCAAAGAGCGACCAGCGTCGGCCGACGGTCTCGACACCAAACATGACCCAGATGAACGTCGCAGCGAACTTGACAACACCGTAGATGCCTGAGGCGAGGAGTGCTGCTGAGGTGCCGTTGTATCCAATCGACTTGAAGATCTGCGGGCCATAGTAGCCTACCGTATTCTGTT